CTCTCACTCCCAGAACATTGGCAATGTCTACAGACAGTCTTGGTTGTGACTGGGGCCAGGGAGAGGGGCTCCTGGCATCTTGTAGTAGAGGGCAAGGATGCTGGTAAACCTGGTATGGTACCAATGTACAGGACAGCCTCCGACAACAGAGTTGTCTGGCCCAAAAGATCAATTGTGCCAAGGTTGAGAACTTTAGAGCCAATCTCACTTCTTCCCTCAAGGGTGTTGCCCTTTGGCTCCCAAAAGATAGGCTACATTTATTCTTCATGCCTTATTCATGTGTAGGGTTTCAACACCACAGTCTATACTGTGCTCCGCCACCCACACAAAATGAAGGTAGAGTTTCACGTCCTTTTTGTCATATTGAGGCATCTACTCCTTCTCTCCTCTGTATAAATGCTGTGCCAGAACATATATTTTTCAAGAACCACCAACAGTATAGTTTAAATCACTATATAAAATAAAATTCTCCCAATGACAAACAGAGTCTTTTATTACATTATTATCCAAAAGTCTTCAGCTCACTGGGGCCAAACTGTCTAGAGTTTTGTCTTTTTAAAATGAAAGTCTTTAGTCAACTTTGAAAATCCCAAGAACCCTAAGAGTGGTCTTTCCAGAAATAGAAATATTTGTCCAAATGATGAATCCATGTTCCAACTCCCTGTAACATAAAGAATGTCCTTAATTTTGGATTTGGTTTCCATAAAGTTTCAAAGTCCTCTTTACCAACTCACTTGGACTTTCCCTTTCCATGTTTGTATCAACAAATAAAAACTTTTCCAGGTATGTGATGTAGGATGGGGACAGCAGGTGGTACGTGATGGGCCCAAGGTCATGGCCTTTTCATGGCTGAAGTACATCATGTGGAAAGCTAAGTTACAAGTTCTTGACTTCAGAAATAAGATCCTGTAAGGGTGGTCTTCTACCCACCATGTCACATTCCATTGCAGGGGAAGACAGAAATGATAAACAAGAAATCAAAGGCAGGACCACATTCTAGCCAATTAGAGCTATTGATTTGTTCCTCAGGTCATCTATTTTTAAGATTGTCTCTGCAGCTTGATGTGCTGGGGTTTAATTAGGAATTGCTAATGGCTGAGCATAAATATGTCTATGTAAATAGGTCTTGGATAGGAGATAACAGATGTTTTGACATTTTTCATTGACTATATGTATAACTGCTTATCAAATACATGAAACTAATTTAGAAACCTATCAACCAAGATTTCTTGATTCCAGTAAGGAAGAAATTATAGACTTTCTCTAATGTCATAAGAGTGGACTAGACAATCATGACTATTCCTTTTAGCTATAAAATCTGTGCTTTTGTGATTTATTTTCCCTACTGGTCAAAACAGATGTCCTCAGGAGTTTTAAATTCGGATCGAGGACAACAGCCATTGCTACACCTGCTACTGCCAGCTCTTAGACTGTGATTTGAAAGCAAAATTCAATTTCTGTCTGAATCATTTGTGTGACACAGTTAATTTGAAAGGAAAAAAAAAGAACAGGAATAGATGATCTGATGGATGGGGATTTAGAGGCAGATCTCTTTTTGACTTATCTAAGTTTTACTAATCAGTTTATTTAAGATAGTTACATAAGGAACTTTCTAATACTTAATTATTGACATTTATTGCTTAAACTATGCTTAGAGACAAGGGGCCCTAAACATTTAATCAGAAGAATAAGTTTGATTTCTGGCTCTTATTGGCTGTGTGACTTTTTCAATTAAATTAAGCACTTGGGGTTTCTATTTCATCCTTAAAATATATGGTATTTATCTCTGAGGTGCCTTACTCTTCATTCGATAAGTATTTATTGGGAGCCTTTATATTGTAAACACCATGGAGGACTCAAAGATCAATGAAGGCCCAAGGGACTCGTGTGTATGTATATCGATGTTCGAGGTTATCTCCTCTATGTCCTTGTTGGGCATTTTCTTTCCAAAACCTGGTTTTGCACAGTGGTCATCAAATTCAGTATACAAGGCCATCCACTGGGTACAGGAAGAAAATATCAGAACTTACATTCTGATGTGCTTTTTGTCCTTTTCGCAGGGTTACTTTTTATTTCAATAGTTTCAATTTACAGACCAGCTTAAAAAATGGTATGAAGAGCTTCCATCTAGCCTTTGCTGGATACATTAATTAATAAATATTTTCCAATTACGCTTTATTCTCTCTCTCTCAATACTACACTATTGGGGTTCTTTCTCTCTCCTTATTGACATGGGGTATCTATCTACCTACTGAACTATCTATCTGTGCAATTATGCCTTAAATAATTCAATGAGTGTTTTCTAAGACAGATATTCTCTCACTTAGCATTGATAGAGTACTATTATCGAATTCACAGTTCATATTCAGATTGCATCAATTTCCCAGTAATATCCTTCACAGCTATTTTTTTCCAGTCCAGATTGCAAATCACATTTGGTTATTATTTCTCTTCTGTTTCTTTAAATATGGAAGAGTTCTTAATATTTTGAAGCATACAGGCTGGCAATTTTGGAGATTCTCCCTCAATCTGAGGTTGTCTAGTGTATGGATTTTTTTTTTT